GATGCTGGTGGCTGGGATCTTGATTCATGAAGATGGATATGTTTTGATATTTTTCTTATCAAATGTAATTGTGTATTTATCCAACCAGGCGTTGTGTGACCCCTACGGGTTTTTGAGCGCTTAGCAATAATACTATTTTTGTACATAAGGGTTAGGTTAGGTTAGGTTAGGTTTGGTAAAGGTAAGGTTAGGTTAGCATAGGTATTTGGTTAGGTTAGGTAAGGTTAGGATAGGTTAGGATAGGTTAGGTTAGGATAGGTTAGGTAAAGGGTTTGGTAAGGTTAGGTTAGGTTAGGTTAGGTTAGGTTAGGGTTAGGTTAGGTTAGGGTTAGGGTAGGTTAGGTTGGATAGGTTAGGATTAGTTAGGTTAGGGTTAGGTAAGGTTAGGTTAGGATAGGTTAGGTAGGTTAGGTTAGGTTTTGGTTAGGTTAGGTTTGGTTAGGTTTTGGATAGGTTAGGTTAGGTTAGTTAAGGTTAGGTTAGATAGGTTAGGTTAGGTTTAGGTTAGGTTTTGGATAGGTTAGGTTAGGTTAGGTTAGGTTAGGTTAGGTAAGGTTAGGTTAGGTTAGGTTAGGTTAGGTTAGGTTGGTTAGGTTAGGTTGGGTTAGGTTAGGTTAGGTTAGGTTAGGTTGGGTTTGGGTTTAGGTTGGGTTTTGGGTTTAAAGGTTAGGTTAGGATAGGTTAGGTTAGGTTGGGTTTAGGTTGGTTGGGGTTAGGTAGGTTGGTTGGGTTTAAAGGTTGGGTTTAAGGTTAGGTTAGGTTAGGTTGGGTTTGGGTTTTAAGGTTGGGTAGGTTGGGTTTAAGGTTTGGTTAGGTTAGGTTAGGTTGGGTTTGGTTAGGTTTTAAGTTTGGTTGGGTTTTAGGGGTTGGGTTTAAATTTTGGTTTAAATGTTAGGTTGGGTTTTGGTTAGGTTTTAGGTTAGGTTGGGTTAAATTTTAGGTTAGGTTAGGTTAGGTTAGGTTAGGGTTGGGTTTTTTAGTTGGGTTTTGGGTTAAAAGGTTAGGTTGGGTTTTAGGGGTTAGGTTAAGTTAGGTTAGGTTAGGTTAGGTTGGGTTTAAATTTAAAGGAAAGGTTAGGTTAGGTTGGGTTTTGGGGGTTTGGGGTTAGGTTAGGTTAGGTTAGGTTAGGTTTAAGGGTTTAAGGTTAAGTTGGGTTTAGGTTATTTTAGGTTAGGTTAAGGTTAGGTTAGGTTAGGTTAGGTTAGGTTAAGTTGGGGTTGGTTGGGTTTAGGTTGGGTTTGGGTTTAAAGTTGGTTTGGTTTTAGGTTAGGTTGGGGTTAGGTTAGGTTAGGTTAGGTTAAGTTGGGTTTTTGGGGGTTGGTTAGGTTGGGTTTAGGTTAGGTTAGGTTTTTAGTCACTCAAGAATACAAGGGAAAAAAGTCATTTTGACTTTTTTTGGGTGACCAGGTTAGGAAAATTTACACTATATATCATCCCTGAAACCCTTGGGGACCTGTAAACAAGTTACTAATAAACCCGAAACTGGGGCTTTTGGTAAAAGATCAAAACCCTTCCAAAAGTTTCCCAAATTTCCAAATTTTAAAAATTTTAATAAAATAAGTATTTTCCTAAAGGGTCTGGGCTCAAAGTTCCCTTTTTCTCCCCTTAAAGACAAAAAAATTCTCCTTCCTTTTCCTTATTGTTGTTCCGTAGTAATTCCCTTTCACGGTGAGCGAGGGGTTTCCCAAACCCGTAGGGGGGGTTTGGGCGCACTCAGCTACACAAAATGAGTGTTTGTGGTTCGACCCCCGGTGGGGGGGAAACTTTGGGGGGGGTTTTTTTCCTTAAGAAAATTTTTGTTGTCCCTTTTCCCCTAGTGGGTAGGTAGGAATTGGGTGTTAGTCACCTTAAAATGTGTTACTATTCCCCCAACCCAGAAAAGTAGGTACCTGGGTTTTAAAAGGGGATTTTTGTGGGGGGCCCACCCGGGGGGACGAAATTAACCAAAGGGTTGCGGGGAAATGCCTACATAACCGGGATTTTTAAAAATTTAGTTTTTTGTCATTGGTGTAGTTTATGGTCTTAAAAAAATTTTTTGGATCATGTACTTGTAAAAAATAAAGATTATTATTATTATTTTTTTTTTATTATTATTTTTATTATTTTTATTATTATTATTATTTTTTTTTTTTCTAAACTGGTGAAGGGTTCTAGGCATCTTCAGTAAAAACTCGGGGATATTTAAAACGCTTTTGGTGTTTTTAAAAGACTACTGGTGCCAGGGGTTAGCCAGGGATTTTTCCAATTTTCTTAATTATGTTTAAAAATTAAAGTTTTTTTAAATGTGTACGAAAACCAAACCCTAACCTAACTTAACCAAACCCTAACCTAAAAAAATCTAACCCAAAATAACCTCCTAACCTAATTTAATTTACCCTTTAAAAAAACCCCAACCAACCCAACTAAACCCAACCCAATCCAATCGAACCCAACCAACCCAAAACCCAAACCCAAAACCCAAACCCAAAACCCAACCAAACCAACTTAAGTAAGTTTAAAAAGCCTAATTAACCAAACCCAGACCAAAACCAAATTTAGCCAAACCTAACCAAACCCTTACCCAAAACCCAACCCCAAACCCAAAAAAAACCCAAACCCCAAACCCCAAACCAACCCAAACCCTTTCCCTACCCTTACCTAAAAACCTAACCAACCAAACTCAACCTAATTTAAAACCCAAACCCAAACCCAAACCCTTTGGACCTAAACCTGACCTGACTGACCTAACCTCCCAAAACCTAAAAACCTAAACCTAAAAAAACCTAACCTAACCTAACCTCCCCTTTCCCAAAACCAAAACCTAAACGCAAAACCCTTCCCAAACCAAACCTAACCAAACCCTCCCCAAACCTAACCTAAACCAAACCTAACCTACCTACCCAACCTAAACCTAACCTAACCAAACCCCAAAACTACCCAAACCCTTTAACCCTAACCAAATTTTAAACCCAAACCCAACCAAATTTAAAACCTTAACCTACCTAACCATCTATTTTGGGGTTTACAACATTAGCTTGGGGGGTGCCCCGTTGTTAGGATTGTGGCTTGGGTGGTCAAAACCCGGTCATGCATTTTCTTCCCATGAGGGGGGCCCCAAAAGAGCATGGGTTGGGATCCTTGGTAGGGGCAGTGTTGTTTTTTGATAAATACCACTTGTTCCGGGGGTACAAAAATAATATACTGCTTGTTGGGTAGTCCCAAAAAACAGGATAGAAGGGAAATTTTTACCCCAGAGGCGCCCACACCCCCGTATGCCCTTCGGGGTGGGTAAAAACATCTAGCTTGGCTGAATGAAACCTTTTGTTAAGGATTGACTCCGAAATCGTAATGACACGATTGAAAAAAAACCCATACCCGGGCCCGGGATTGAACCCGCGGGGCAGAGAGTCTCAAAACTCCAGCCGTCGCGTTTTGCCACTGACCAGCTAGCCAAAAATAAGATTCTCCCCAAAAAAAGGGATATTTTACACCATAAAGGGAAAGGGTTTGCACAGGCACCACTGTGACCACAAATGCAAATTTTTACAGCGAAACTCAGCTAACGCGCGGGCTGGGGGTTTTGAGACTCTCTGACCCGGGTTCAATCCCCGGCCCGGGGTTTTGGTTTGTTGCAATCGTGTCATTACGATTTTTGGGAGTTATGTTTTACGGCAGTGAAGGGACTTGAGCTTGAGTTTGTCCCCGAAACCCCGGGTGGGGGATTTTGTCTGTAAAAAACTTGCATTTGTGGGGCAGTGGTTTCCCCCGTGCTAACCTTTCCTTTTGGTGTAGAAATATACCCAATTGGACGAAACTTATTGTGGCTAGTGGTCTATTTGGGTAAAAGCGACGGGCTGGAGTTTTGAAAACTCTCTGGCGGCCCGGGGTTTAATCCCGGGGCCGGGGGTTTTTTGGTTTTTTTAAGGAATTTTGTGGTCTAGTTTGGGCTAAAGGGTCGTGGTTTTTCTTACCTGAGGTGGGCCCAAAAAAGCATGGGTTCGGGGAAATCCTTTGGGTGTGCAGTGTTGTTTTTTGATTAATACCCCTTGTTCCCTGGGTAGGGAAAAAAAAAGACTTTAAAAAAAAGCTAGGTTAGAGTTTCCGTGACCCCCTTTGGAGGCCAGTGTTTACAAAGCTTGGGTAGCGGGAAGAGCCCCTTTACGGTAATAAAAACCGGGTTCCCCAAAAAAGATTATTCACCTTTTTTTGGGTCAAATTTATGATGATTTAAAGTTTAGTTCATGGGAAGTTACGCTTGCATTTCTACCTTTAAAGTTGCAATGTTATTGGCCCTTTTTGAGGGGCCCTTCAAGCTATTTTTCCAGAAAAATTTATAAATCAATTTACAGGGCCACAGGGTTTCCCCCTTTTGGGTGTTTTTTTAAATTAAGTATATATAATATTATATATATTATATATATATTTTTTTATATTATATATTTTATATATATATATTATATATATATTTTTATAAACGCAAACAGCGATACAGGATACTGACAAACCACGGGGGGAGTAGAATGATAGCTCTAGATCTTTCGTGTTACAATGAGCACATCATCAGGAGCTTCCAAATTGCAGAAGAGAGGAGATTGTCCACGTAATACGTTCCCAGAGGACTGACTTTACTGGAGTGAGCAATTAAGGGAGAGAGAAGGGCACAGGAAATGCCACAGCCAGAAGGATGAATATTTATAGCATTAGAAAAATTTCATATGCAAAGCAGACACAGGGGGAGTTCAATGATAGCTCTAGGGCCTTTTGTATTGCAATCAACACATCAGAAGCTTGCAATGTTGCAGCAATGAATAGGAAGTCCATGCAGGTTTGCTCCAGGGAACATTTTCTCCTGCAAGCTCCTGAAGAAGTGTTGATTGCAAAACGAAAGGCCTAGACTTATCATTCAACTAATCCTGTGGTTGTTTTGCATCTTGTATCGCATGCTCGTGATGTTTGCAATACACGTATAATCTTTTTTTTCTTAAGCATTATTTTGAATTAGAAATTAGATGGTTACGTACCTGGAGACGGCGTAGATGTGGTGGTCATTATTCTTGACCCCGAGGGTGGCCAGGGGGTCATCTGTGACCACCTCCCGGGGCGGTTGAGGGGGATGTGGCCCCCGAGTCACCAGCCACTTGAGCATCGCCCGTGCTGACACTCACAGCCTGGTGGATCGGACGCAGCTGGTTAGTTCATGTTGTATTAACATACAACAAAAAATACAATAGAATAAAAAATGCAGTTTGATGCTCAATACAACTTGTTAAAAATACAATATCAAACTGCTAATGTATTAATTTTGTTTGTGTGTATTTATGGTGTATGTGGAATGTTACTGGTACACACATACACACACACATACAACTCAGATGACTCATGAGGATGTTAGGAAGTATTTCTTCAGCCACAGAGTTGTCAGGAAGTGGAACAAACTGGAGAGTGATGTAGTGGAGGCAGAGGTATGATGAAGCTCAAGGAGCAGGGAGACAGTGGACCTAGTAGCCACCAGTGAAGAGGCGGGGCCAGGAACTGTGATTCGACCCCTACAACCACAAATAGGTGAGTACAAACAGCTGAGTACATACACACACACACACACACACACAGCTTTAAGATGAGGTATGACAAAGCTCAGGAAGCAGAGAGAGAGGACCTAGTAACGATCAGTGAAGAGGCGAGGCCAGGAGCTGAGTCTCGACCCCTGCAACCACAAGTAGGTGAGTACACACACACACACACACACACACACACACACACACAACAACACACACACACACACACACACACACACACACACACACACGCACGCACACACACACACACACACGCACACACCACACACATGATAGGCAGTGGGACCTTCATCTCATCTGACCCCTCAGCTTCCAGGCTGAGGGACTGACCACCTCAAATACTTTTTCTCCAAGGTTGATGGACTGATTACATCATCTTCACTTCATTACTACAGCTGCCTCTGTATTTAACTGAAGAAGACTACTGTGTGGTGAAGCGTTTCTTCAGTAAAGATACCCAACTGTGGCACATGTGTGTAATAATCATCAACAGACCAGAGTCACTGTCAGGTGACTGCTGTTTCACCACTTATAATAATAGTTTACTACCAGTACATGTACAAGGTATACAGACCATAACTGACATACTACTCTATAGAAAGCTGCTTGTTATGCTGAGCATTTCCCGCAAATTAGGTCAGTTTTGTCCCAGGATGCGACCCACACCAGTCTACTAACACCCAGGTACCAATTTTACTGATGGGTGAACATAGACAACCGGTGTAAATAAACACGGCCAATGTTTCTACCCTCGCTGAGAATCGAACCCGGACACCTCACCGTGTGAAGCGAGAGCTTTACCCACCAGGCCACGGAGCACCACTTGTAGAGAAATGGAACCAGCACAGGTTCACAGACTTCCTCCTCTTCTCGTCCACTGTATGAGCCAAAAGTTGTCAATAAGTATACATTTGTGCCTATTCTTCCATCATGTCAGTATTTTATACCATTTATCTCCAACCTCCTCCTCCTCCTACATCCTTCTTTAATGTCCATCAATATGAAACTTTATACAGAGGTTCCGCCCACATAACTCCTTATACCGCCTCATTAAATACTATCAACTCTTTAGTGGACCATAAAGGTGATCCCGGCCAGTCTTGACGCCTCCATTATACAAGAATGTTAAATGAAAACTAATATAATAATAATAATAATAATAATAAAATAATAATAAATATTAAATAATAATATATTAAAAATTTTTAAA